AAAATCTTTAAAAAAAAATTAAAAAAAATAAAAAATACATCAATCCTAGGAATATAAGGATGCTTTTGAACCATTAGAAAAATATCATGGTTAAACACAGTGGATTGAATGCATACAATTAGCTCTATTCCCTCCTGAAACCCCACCAAAATGCCAGTAAAGAAAGAAACGGAAGTATATATGTGCAAGGACAAAGAGATGGGGAGAAAACCTCAGTGGGCAAGAGATGTCAGTGGTTTTTGGGAGGCAAAACTGTTTAAGGAAGGGCACTGACTCAGCAGAATAGAGAAAGTGAAATTCTAAATGCCTATGGAGGGAACTGTTGATGAGAAGTACAGGATTTGTGCCACAGAACTCCTGAAAGGCTCACAAGTTAGTCACTAGGTTCTTAGAAGATGGAGTGATGGAGGAATGTGCTAAAAGCAGCAAGGGGATGGGGAGGGTATGAATGAAGAAGATGATCCTGTAAGTTCCTTTCTCCAACCCAGCAAGACATGAGTCTTCTTTGCTGGAGTCATTAAACCAGGGGAGCTCCAGACTCCAGTGTACCAAAGAGGTCTGATGAGTGACCATTTCCTAGGAAGGAAGGAAGGAAGGAAAGAAGGAAGGAAGGAAGGAAGTAGGGAAGGAAGTAGGGAAGGGAGAGAGGGAGGAAGAGGGGGAGGGAGGGAAATGAATCATATCCAGCATTTACTGAGTACTTACCATGTGCCAGGCTCTGTTTTAAATGATCAGTATATATTAATTCATTTGATCTTCGTAACAGCCCAGCAAATAGGCAAATAAATGTACCAAAATAGCCGAGACAATTTTTAAAAAAGAACACAAAAATGGGACTTACACTACCAGATACTAAAACACACTAGAAAGCTATAATAATTTAACAGTATGGTTTGGATGCTAAAATGGACATTTAGGCTAATGAAACAGAAGAGTATAGAAACTGACCCTCACATACGAGAATGAAAGATATGATAAAAATGACATTTCCAACCAGTAGGGCAAGAAACCCAAACAATTCAGTAAGTGATATTGGGACAATTGACTATAACAGACACTTGGAAGATATAAGTTCCAGATGAGTTAACGACAAATCTAATAATAAAAACATGTTATAAACTTGGACTCTTAAGTAAGGTCTTCTGAACTAAGACTTGCTTGGCAACACGCTGAAGGTGAAACTTACAGCACATTATTTAGCCTTCTGATATATTGTATTTTTTGTTTTTAATCAATGGAATGAAGATGACAATAGAATTATTATGAAGTTCACTCTGATTGGCAGTGGGTAAATCTCGTTTGTTACGTTAAACTTTGTGGCTTAGTAGTTGCATCCAATTCTGCATACCTCCGTCCTCTGGAGGTATTGAAATTTTATTTTTCTGCTGCTATTAACAACACATTTGAGTCTAATATGCAGAAAGGGCCCCTGTGTTAACTCCTATATCTCAGCACCTCTACAAGTGATAAGAAAATCTTCCTCTGACATTTTTGACAAGTTCCTAACCTACTGCAGGACTGCTTGTGAATGTATGGTTATAAATGCCCGTTCAAAAACAGCAAGAGATCTGTGAATTCTGGATGTTCTTTGACTTTCTCCTTTTGAGATCAGTTCCCACAAGAAGAAAATTATTGGACTTATCTACTTAGTGGGCATCCTCTCTACTCCGTTGCTGTAAAGAGTGAATGCTTTACCAAGTGGAAGTGAAAACATTTTAAGGTCATTATTTTCCCCCTCTCGAGCAGTAAGGTAAAAAGACAAAAGCTGCTTCCGTGGTGAAACTGTTATATTGGTTATTTAGTTGCTTTTTACCTTCCTAGATAACCAGTTCTATGACAAAGTAGTTCCATGCCGAGATAGAGACTTTAGTTTCAAGTGACAGAATCCTCATTCAAACCAACCCAAGAACATTCGTAAGGGAACAAATTGGCTTCAGTAGCTGGAAAGTCAGAGGCCGAATGTAGCTTCAGGCATAGCTGGTTTATCTAGGTAAGGCCTGGCCCCACCTGGCCCTTAGGGAATGAACCACACTCGCTCCGCCCCATGCCTGAGGAAAGAGGAGGAGGCTTTTTGCCAGAATAAGAGAGGAAAGCCCTGAGCTAAAAAAAGCCACAGTGGTGACCTAAGATGTTTCCTGGTTCAGCACATCCTGCACGAAGTGCCTGCACCATCACCTTCTCCCTCAGGTTATTGCTGGAAAGGTCTGGCTTGGTCATGAAGCCACACTCTGTAGGGTATCTGCATCAGTCCCTTTGCTGTGTCTCCCCAGTGAGGCCAGAAGTTGCCTGCCCCCTGTTTCCTGTTCGGCCTCCATGTTACCTTGTTGCGATAGGCACTATGTAACAATCCATATTTGGTTTAGTGTGTGTGTGTGTGTGTGTGTGTGTGTGTGTGTGTGTGTGTGTGTGGTTTAATTAGGACAGGATGATGTATGATATATAACCATCATGGAAGTGAATACTCATGACTTCTAGTAGAATTGGTGTGAGAAGTCTCTTAAACATATTCCTGGGCCTGCAGAAATTTCCTGAGGCTTCTTCATTCACCCCTGAAGGTCTAAGTGCAATAGTTCTTGATCTGTGTGAACTGTTAGAATTGCCCTCAACATCAGATGAGGGGCTGGACCTGTGTTGGTAGGAATAGAGGAGGCGCCTAATTTCTTTGGGAACCACCATCTGATTGCTCCCCACTGGGGCAGAGGACTGGGGCTTGGTGGCCTAGCAGACAAATGTGTGGCCCACTTCTGGGGGCCCCTCCTGTAACCCCATCCACCCAGGGAGGTCCGGGAGTATGACTGCCTTCCCCAATTCCATCTGCCTCAGGATAGGCTCAGGCACCTCCCATCATTTCTGTGTTCCAAAATTAGGTCTGTTGGTTTTCTCTCCACTCCTTTTATCATCCCCTCTTCTCAGAGTCTCTCCCCTCCTGGAGCCGTCAGAATGCTTTGTCTCCAGCACAGTAGCGGGCCAGTGGCTCCCGGTAACCAGGGGCAACCAGGAATCTGTACCAGCTATTTGTGCTGCATTTGTCAGGCGCAATCTAGCCGCGAGCTGGGTAGACGGGGAAAATGTGCTGCAAAGGTTTTCTTGTACAGTGAAATATTATCTTCGCTTTTTTTAGAACGACCAGTCCATGGGCGAGATGCAGATAATTGGAGGCGATGATCTTTCAACACTGGCTGGAAAGGTTTGTTAATGTAACTCCGCTCGGGCTGCGCTGATGTCATGGGGAAATCAGTGACCTTCAGTTCAGGTCAGCTCTCGAAATGCATTTCAGACACTCTCCCGGGCTGGCTAATTCATGCAAATGGATGTGTGAATCCTTTTAATGATTTCTTCCCTCTAAAACACTCCTTTCATAAAGCTTCCAGGACCTGAGGCCGACCAGATCTTTCGTCTCCAACCTTCCTTCCAATCTCTCTCCTTTCAGACAACCCCGTATTTCAAAATCCCTTGGCACTCTTGCTTTCTTCCTTTTCTCCTCTTGCACTTCCTCCAGAAAAGGAAGCTTTTTTCCTTTATTTGTCTCTTTTTTATCTCTCATCTATGCCTCTGCACCTAGGCATTGCAGTAAGACATTTAAACAGGTTTGTTGAAATATCTAAAATTTAAGGAAGGGATTAAAATCTCGAGAGCACTTTTTTCAGCCTTATGCCTTTTTCACTCCCATGCAAAAGAATGTAATCCATTAGATCATGGGGCGAACACCTCCACTTTCAACTTGGCGTTCCAAACCTGCCAATGCTCAATAATTAAGTGAAAATTTGTTTGGATTCTGACATAAATACATCCATTGGATGGAAGAGTTTTGCCTAATGCACCTGGCCTTTGTGGAAATGGGGCCTGAGATTCAAGTTTTGCTGTGAATGCAAGCAACAGCCCAGGTCCTCTTGGACTCATTATCCTTGAACAACTTCAGCCTTCCGAGTCAAATGGATCAGCCTCCTCCACAAGTTTAATCTCTCATATTTGTGGTTGTTATTGTTATGCAATGTCCGGATGGGGAAAAGGAATAGCAGGCACATTTAACAGAAATATGTATAATAACATTAGGAACACAACAGAGCCACACGGGCTCTAACTAGACAAACCAGCTTCCTTCCCTCTACTCTTTAGAAAGCCTGGTAGCCATCTACATGTGACATTGTGATCTAGATGTCAATTATGTTCCACAGAAATTGGAATTAACTGGCTGATGTTAATGCATCATTAGGCCACCATTTGATGTTACTACGTCAGTGCATGAAATAACATCTTTGGGGTGCCTGGGGGGCTCAGTCCATTGAGCGTCAGACTTTTGATCTCTGCTCAGGTCTTAATCTCGAGGTTGTGAGTTCGAGCCCCGCGTTGGGCGCCACACTGGGTGCCACACTGGGCGTGGAGCCTACTTTAAAAAAATAATGAAAATAGGGGCACCTGGGTGGCTCAGTTGGTTAGGCGACTGCCTTCGGCTCAGGTCATGATCCTGGAGTCCCGGGATCGAGTCCCGCATCGGGCTCCCTGCTCAGCGGGGAGTCTGCCTCTCCCTCTGACTCTCCCCCTCTCATGCTCTCTCTATCACTATCTCTCTCAATAAATAAATAAAAATCTTAAAAAAAAAATGAAAATAAAAGTAACATCCTAGAAATCTAAAATACTCAAAGCCATTTCCAGAAACTCACAACTTTTAACAACCATGGAATGGCCTTTAAACAACAAGTCATTTTGGGACTCTGTTGGAGGACATTGCCTTAGAGGTGTGTGACACAAGAGAAATACCATACCTTGTGTGGTATTACACAAGCCTCTTGCCATGGGCTATTGGGGGAGGGGGGAGGTCTGTCAGAGTGGGAATTCTAAGAATTCTAAATGAATGCCAAAAAAAAGTTGCACATAAAATTGGTCTTTCTCTTCTGCTTTCTAAAATCATCTTCTATTTCATTTTAAAGTGATCTCCCTCTTACGTGAGCATCGGATATTCCCTTCCCTTAAGAGATAGAGAGGAGGGTGGGGAAAGGCTAGTTTTGTACTAAGGGATGGAGTGATAGGAGGGGTGATAATACTCTGCCTCAGTATCCCCTCCCAGAATTACTACAAAGACACCCTCCCGCCACGAGAAAATAGAGATCGTGGAAGTTCAGGTGGGAGAGGTAGAAAATCAGCCGGCAGTAAGTACAAGCAGGAGTCAGCTTCAATTTTTTGCTTACATGACAAATGATTCTTCCAGGTGCTATTCCATAGTATCTTTACACTAACATTTATGTGTGTGCTTCAATGGATTTCTATATATGCTTAAATGTGTGCTGAGTAGAACCCCTTGAGCTTAGAATGCAGGGGGTAAATATTTCTAAGATGAATCAATATTGATTAGCCAGGTTCTCAACTGTCACAACAGCTTAGGTTTAGAGATTATGCATCTTTATGCAGTTCAGGGTACCTGGGCTCCCATTAGAGAGGAGTGCTTAATGAACCAGGGTAGACCACACTCAGTGCTCTCAAATGTGTCTTAAATCTGCCCACTTCTCTCCATCTTCATGGTAATCACCTGAATCTAGACTTTTACAGTAGCAAAATGTGTTCTATGGCAGGGGTTAGTGAACTTTTTAGGGAAGGGCTGGGCAGTAAATATCTTTAGATTTTGAGGGCTATACAGTCTCTGTTGCAACTACTTAATTCTGCTATCATAGCATGAAACCAGCAAACAGCCAAAGATAAAAGGGAAACAAATGGACATGGCTGTGTTTCAGTAAAACTTTATTTATAAAAATGGCCGATGGGCCATAGTTTGATGACCTTTGATCTAGGAACCAGCAAGGTCAGCACCATCTGCAAACTAATCAGAAATGCAGTATCTCAGATCCCACTGCAGATCTTCTGAATTAAGTCTTCCTTTTAACAAGATCTCTAGATGGTTCCTATGCACACGAAAGTTTGAGAAGCACTGGTCTTCTAGGGCCAGACCACTACTATCCCTTCTCTGGGATGCTATTGTAACCTAACTAGTCTCCTTGAACTTCTGCCTTCATTTAACTCTTGCTACCCTCCAAACCATTCTCCAAAAAACAACAGCCAAAGGGATCTTCTTAAAATACAAATTGGATCGCCTCATTTGCCTACTGAAAACCTTTGAGCAGCCCCTCAATTAGGGTTGTCAGACTTAGCAAAAAAAACAGAGAACAGGATGCCAAGTTGAATTTGAATTTCAAATAAACAATGAATCCATTTTTAGTATAAGCATGTCACATGCAATAATTGGAACATACTTAAGCTCAAAAATCATTTGTTATTCATCTGAAATTCAAATGTAACTGGGTGTTCCGTATTTTATCTGGGAACCCTACTTCCAGTGTTCTGAGATTATAATCCAACCTCCTTCTCACAGCTTGTAAAACTTACATGATCTGGCCCTGCTTCCCTCCCACCATCATCATACACCACTCACCCCTCCTCACGGTGCTATCACCACACTGGTTAAGCTCCGAACAAGCTATGGAATCCATTTTCCTCCTATCCTTAGGTCTCAGCCTCCTGTGTTAGGAAGGTCTTCCCTGACTCTGTCTAAAATGGGCATACATTCTTCTCCTGCATGCTCCCCACCTTCCCCATTCATCTCTGTTATCATTACCCTGTTTCAAGTCAAGCCCTTTCCACAGTTTGCAGTGTTTACTTTGAGGCTAATTTTTTTATTTGTCTATTTCCCCCACCAGAATGTCAGTGTAAGGTGGGCAGGGACCCTGCCTATCTTATTCACCATTCTATCTCCTGCATCATGCACGGTGCCTAGCTGACAGGTTGGAAAAAATATTTGGTGACGTAGTGAATGCAGGTTCTTCTTTCTCTTAGAAAGAAATCAGAAAGGTGTTTTCAATGAAGTGTGGGAAAGGGTGGACATGGCAGAGGGAAAGGTACATAGAAGTCCATCTAGCCAGACCAAAGGACACATCAGCCAGCAGTTTGGGTTCAAAGTGAATGAGAAAGGTGTCGAGTAAGGGCACATTGACTTTGAGAAGCAGAAGGGCTTTGGTGTCACAAGAGAGTCAAAGCGGGGACTGGGTTGGTGAATGCCGCACACCTGAAGATGGACGAGTGAAAACAATGTCACTTAACTTTTGGAATTTCCTTTTCCTTAAACAGATGAAGACATTCATATGGCTTGATCTGTTCACCCATCCTTCAGCCTTTCAGAGAAAGGCTTTGCATTAAGAGTTTGAGAGAACTTTAAAAATAAGTTTCAGAGGCCCTCCAGAATCTTTCCATCATGCAGAATGTACACCAGCTAGGGAAAAAACAAACAAACAAAATTTGAAAAGGCACCCAACAATTAGTGGGAACTATTTTTAACGATCCCAAGAAAAGTCCCTTGCCCTTAAAGAAATGATTCCTTGGGACTGTGACTGTCTTCACAAGAGGAGGCTGAGGTTTTACTTGGGACCAGAAAACCTGGGAATAACCCAGAAAAGGGAGGAAGAGCATCATGAAATGAGGGATGAAGGAGGGAAATAGGAGAGCCAGAGAACAAGAGCAGACCCATGTGACTGAAAGAAATCAGCTCAAAATAGAGAAACAATACTTTAAAACACGGAAAATGTAAATTGGGTTTGGTTTGTAGAATATATTGAATGTCTCAATAAAGAGTTTAACTTGCTCAGAAAAGCAAAGAGGAGTTGCAAAAGTTTTTGAGCAGAAGTGACATCAAGAAGCTGTGTTTTGGGAAAATGAACTTGATAGGAGGGTCGAGGATGGGAAGGAGACTCCAGGCAGAGAAACCAGTCAGGAAGCCATATAGGTGGAGCATGCACGGGCACCGGAACCACAGGAGCTAAGTAGGAGTGTTGCAGAAGGTACCGTGCTGACTGAAGGAGGAGCAGCGGAGCTAAATGATGAAATGAAGGAAGGAGTTTTTTTTTAATTTTTTAAAATTTTTTAAGATTTATTTCTTTATTTGAGAAATAGATTTTTTTTAATTTTTTAAGGTTTATTTCTTTATTTGAGAGAGAGAATGTGTGAGCAGGGTGAGGGTGGGGGAGAAAAGGGGCGAGGGAGAGAATCTCAAGCAGACTCCTGGCTGAGCACATCCAATGTGGAGCCCAATGGGGGGTTCGATCTCATGACCCTGAGATCATGACCTGAGCTGAAATCAAGAATCGGATGCTTAACCAACTGAGCCACACAGGCCCCTGAAAAGACTTTTTTAAATCAAATTTGTTT